ATAATAATATCAGCAAAAATTTGAACAATATATAATGTTAATGCTAAGACTAATAATTAATATTAAAACTAACGGTAATAAAAACAACAATAATAATAACAACAATGACAACAATAATAACAGCAATACTAATAACAGTTAGTACAATGTAGTACCAGTAAATGACTTGTGGCCGAGTTGACTTGTGGCCGAGTTGATTTGTGGCCGAGATGACTTGTGGCCGAGTTGACTTGTGGCCGAGTTGACTGTAGCCAAANNNACTTTTTGTGGCCGAGTTGACTTGTGGCCGAGTTAACTTGTGGCCGAGTTGACTTGTGGCCGAGTTGACTTGTGGCCGAGTTGACTGTGGCCGAGTTGACTTGTGGCCGAGTTGGATCGAATTCAATTCCAGACCTCTGAAAATGGCGAAGCCTATACCAAAGCTTCGCATTTTTGCGGGAAAAATGCCTAGACAGGATTGTTCATTCATATTGAAATTAGTGTTTTGATGGTGATTTGTTTTTTTCATCCAATGGGAATTCATATTCTGGTTTAATTTAATTAATTTGTTTTTTATACTTATGTTCTAATTGTATGTACTGAGGATCCCAATTGATCAGCTCAGGGTGGATGGACCACCCTCACAAAATATTGTTTAAACAAATAAATATATTTTATATAAAATATTGTTTATCAATAAATATATTTTATATAAGAATCTATGAATATTCAGCTTTCCGTTTACTGGGGAATGAACAACAAGATATTTGATTGGTAAACAGCCGAAATGGCAATTTAAAGCCAACGAAGTCGCTGGAGGTAATTTATTTTTTTCTTTTTTTTTCTTTTTTTAAGGCCAGGGCCTGTAGACCTCTGACAATGGTAGCGGAAGGCTATACCAAAGCTTCGCATTTTTTCGGGCATAATAGACTGATGTTATTTCCACTCACAATAGTGTAGTCGCAATATTACTAATACAAAAGTGAAAGTTAAAAAGGGGAGAAAAGCAAAAATCTCTTGATTGATTTTAAAAGTCGTGTACAGTACTTGCAAAAAGACTTAATTAATCATTGTTTTAAGTTTGAATAGCGTGTTGTTAATAATAATAATAATAATAATAATAATAATAGGCCTTATAATAATATAATATGCCTATTAATAATAATACTAATAATAATAGGCCTTAATAATATAATATGCATATTAATAAGAATAATAATAACAACAATAATAATAATAATAATAATAATAATAATAATAATAATAATAATAATAATAATAATAATAATAATAATAAAGATTTGTAAAGCGCAAACATCTTCACCTACATAGGTGCTGGACAGTGTCAAACAAGCAGTAGAGAAAAAAACAAGATACATACCACAAAAAGAAAATGTAACAAGACTCATCATTTTATTACTTTACCTTCTCATTTTTTAACCACAGTTATACCAATGTCTTTCGATATTTCCTTTTCTTTCTCTTTCTTACATTTTCCTCTTTTGTCATACGTTTCCTTATCTTTTTCCTATTCTTTCTTATGTTTCCTTTTCTTCTTTTTTTCCATTCTTATGTTTGCTTTTGTTTATGTTTCATTTTCTGTTTTAGTTTCTCCTTTTCTTTCTTATGCTTCCTTTCCATTCCATTTCTTTCTTATGTCTTTTTTCTTATTTTCCTTTTCTGTCTTACGATTTCCATTTCTTTTCCTTTTATCTTGTTCTTTCCCCCTTTCTTTCTTATTTGTAGTGAAAATCAGGGCCCCCGTGACCTTTTTCAGGGACAAACGTTTCTCTATTGATTTAGTATCATTAGATAGAAAAAAATGAACGGGCGGGCGGGGGGAACTTCCAGAAAAAAGGGCGGAACGTCCTTTAAAGTCAGATAAGCTTCTCTTAGCAGACCTTAGCATATGATCATATATTTTTTTCGACAGTATGCAATATTGTTCTTTTAGATTAGATTGACTTTGTTCGTGGTGGATACCCTACGCGGCGCTATTTACACGATCTTTTGTTACTTTTTCGTCAGTGACGTCATGGTAAAATCGTATATAATCGCCTATAACTTCATAAAAAATAGCCAAAAAAAGATTTTAAGTTTGATTCTATTATTAATGGCATATCAAAAATCCTCTCTAGAACAAAAAAATCATTTTGCTAGTTCTCTTTTAAGGGGCACAACTGAGGAAAGCCTAAACGTTATTTTTGGAAACTTTCAATGTTGCTGATGTGTTTCTTTAAGTAAAATGACAATTAAGGTAAACCCAGGTTTTTTGAATGTCTAAAAAATAGGATATTATGGGAAAAGATAGACAATCTATTTGAGAAACTTGACAATAGTCAATCTTCTTTTAAAGAATTATTAACAGGGTGAATTAAAAATGAAATATATTCCATTGCAGTATTTGCTACAAAATTCTAACAGATCTGGTAAGCCAGTTTGTAAAAATGCATGGATTATATTAAGAATTATGAAAAAGAAAATAATTATGAATGGAACGTTATACTTGAATGAGTTTTATACGGTTATCTTCGGTTATTATCGTTGTGCTAATTTTGAATAATTGGGATTAAATGGTAACGTATTTTAAAGTATGTTAAATTAATTAAGAGTTATATTATCATAAATATTTTTTCTTTATTATGAAAAGAAACAATAGAATAAGGTTTGGTAACCACATGAGAAAAAAAAATATATACAATTTTAAAAGTATATTTATACAGCAATATACTAGTAAAGTTCAGTTTAAACACTATAGATTGTAAACTCAATAATATACTGGTTTACGTTTTACTTATGCTAAGGTCATAGTGTATGCATGACTTTGTTGTGTAATTGGTATTAATATTACCGCAGCTTGAGCTTCGTGAATAAAAATGTGTAATATTGATGGTAAAAATTTGAAAATCAGAAAAAAAAATGGTGAAAAAAAGTCGGAAGACCCCACAAAAGAGGAAAAAAACCCTAGGAGTGGACTTGAATAGCTTGGTGGTATAAGACACTTGCCTTCCAATATGGCATGATTATGTCAAGAAGTGTTTGACATGGGCTTCAAAACAGAATGAAGTACACTTTTATGGTTGATTGAAACTTTGTTAGTGTCAAATAAAGTGAGACTTTTATGAATGTTTTTGTTTAATAAAAAAAAAATACTGTAGTATGTGTTATCAGAAAAAAAAGAAAGGAGGTTTGAAGACAAATAGATATCAGTAATATAAAGGAGGAATATGGACCTAAGAAAGACCGAGGAACACCGCAAGAAATGGAACGGATGAAGTCACATTTGGTTGCTGACTACGATTTGAAAGATAACTCTGAAAGTTACGCGTATTCCCATAATGGGATAATTTTGTATTTTGTGGTCGATTGTATCAAAAGCTTTAGAAAGGTCTATGGAAATTCTGATAGCAAATTGTCTGTTTTCAAATGCGTCAACAGTTTTGTTTGTATGGTCAGTAAGAGAGTATCGATCCTTCCTAAATCGATATTGTTCCTAAATCAAGAATTTTTTATTGTAAAGTAGGTACCATATTTTGAAATATAACTGAGTTGGTGTTCTGTCGTAATTATTTTTTCTAATGCTTTTGAAAAAAGCAGAAAGGACGATAATTTGAATATCTTATTTGGGTCCAGTTTTAAAATGGAGTTGTTACACGGGTTTTCTTCAGTCTGTTTGGAAAAACACTCCCTTAGAGTGATTAAGGATTAAATGGGACAAAGGGGGACAGAAATTAAATCCGAAACATGTTTACTGACTTTAGTATGAATCAAAACCGTCAATACAAAACATGACATGAGAGAACAGCCACAGAACTTTACATCAACATGATAGAACAAAGTAGACAACTTGGAGATATTAAATGTAATTCACACAAATAGGCCTTGGTTCTCTACACTCGAATGGGTGTAGGGTTGCGAAGGAATTCTTTAAAAGAAATGTTACTTTGGAGCATATTTATATAAAGATGGTCCAATTTCAATAACAATGTTAAATGCACATGAAATTTTGTCTGAGCCAATGATTACAATCAATGTTGTAGGAATCCGGTTCATCTTCAGGGCTTTTTCTGATCAGTGAATGAATAGTAGGCCTACTCGTATGTTAATATCATTTTTGTATTTAAGAATATTTTTTAAATGGTTGGCTTTGGCAGCTTTGATTGTCACGGGTTTCATTTATTATGAAATTTGTTGTAGGCCTACTTATTTTCATGGATTGTGAAGGAATGACTGTCTTGCATATCTAATACAGTACTTAATTCAGACCACATGCTGATTGCTAATATCATACGTACCGGAATTGTTCAACGCGTCTGAGGAATTAATGTTTCTTGATAGTATCTCTTCTTCCTTAGCCAGCTGCTTTTCTTGATGGACAAAATATCAAAGACGGAAAGGTAATCACTGATAGGATTTGATTTAAACCATGGTTGGGACATTGAACGATGGAATAATACTGTCAAGCAGGCTGGTACCGTATTCTATGTCGATGTAAGGGGGAAGATTGATGAAAGAGGAATTAACGAAAGCGGATGTCCTTATATAGCTCTAAATTTGGGTGCAGATCCAAGTCCACTAGTAAGTACAAAATATTGTAAAATTGATTTCCAAATGTTACAATAGAGGTTTCCGTGTGTGATCACTCTGTGTATGGCCAGCGCGAGAATGTCTCTATAGAAAAGGACTACCTGGCTCAACTGAGGATCAATCAATATTATTGATTAATTTATTCTAATCTCTATAAAAACCAACGATAAGCTTTACTTCAACCAATGTGTGGTGATGCAGGATAGGTGAAACCCACAACTGTGGTCACAGAGAGTTGTTTTTTTTTTTCGTTCAATGTTCAGAGCATGAATGTTTAGAACATTTTTTTTTTTTTTGCAAAAGTTGCTGGCCCCCGTTTCTGGCCTTTGAACCAGCAAATCACCATGCATGCATTAGCAGTTACTTGCGTGTTGTGGGACATGTGCGTACTTAGATAGGCCTATCTTAAGCATCACTTTCTGATTTGTCAATTTTAAGTTTGATTGACACTCCGAAAAGGTCGATTCCATAAACGATCTGTCATAGGTCCGTGTGTTCCAGTCCCTAATTTTGTCTTAATCAGTGAAAAAAAGTCTACAATAGGCTTAACAAATTTTGATTTCGGTCTCAAAATTGTCGAAATGTTGATTCTATCCAAATGGAGAAATTATTTTCGAAAATGAACCTTTAAAAATTCATCCGGATATGTATAGTCTATTCTAATTACTGATTAGATATCATGCCAACTTGTACAATAAATCACTGCTGATGCTGAGGAGGACTGTCAGGTCGATATTGAGAATATGTGTAGGGCCTACTAAAAGTCTACTCCGTTTCCAGTTTTCTATTTTTTTTCAGAAGATGCTATAGTTGAGAGTTTTAGAACAATGGGCCTAGTTTTTTCTAGGATTTTGAAACTTGAGGATGTACCGTATGTGTTAGGCCTATATAAAAAATGTTAATTCCACAAAAACGGACATACATAACTGTTAGCATATTTTTAAATTAGTAGTAGTGGCGAGTTTAAAAAAAAATGATAATATCATATCAAACGCATTTTCCAAAATGAGAGTTGTTTGGTCCATCGATGATAAAACTGCAACAAAAGCTGGCCACTTTAGTTTTTAATTTTTAAAGAATGAAAAAAAAAAAATTCTGCCGTTAACATAAATAAAATGTTTAATTATTAACTGTCATAAAATAGGCCTAAAAGATTTTAAAGAATGGTGGCTATTTTGAAATTGCAGACAACACACAACCCCCTGCACAATGCCGAAATATGGCCGGATAAAGATAGGCCTAAAATATTTTAAAGGTAGCTATTTTGGAATTGCAGACAACACAACCCACTTGCACATACACGATGTAAACTTTTTGGTTTTTAACTATTGTCTATCTGCATTATTATGCATTTTTACTTCTAGCAAATAAGTGCTATTCATTATTCATCATATTTTTTCTTTACTGTAGACTAAATACAGTTTTTACCCGGCCATCGTAATTTGTGGGTTTTTTCTTTTTATTTTATACTGTCATAAAATGGCTTAATGTGACAAATTTTAACTTTCTGCTCTCGGTTCTTCTCTTACTTCAAACATCTGCGTCAGTAATTATACTGTATCTGTCAATTACTTTTTATAATAATACTGCACTGCTATTGGCTGATTGGGCCCTACGCTTCAATTACAATCAACGTTCGGTTGAAATGGCGGAAGCAGGCAAGAGGAGCGACAAAGACTGCGTGTATGAGGTAAATGTCACTTCATTTAACATGTTAATTACTTTGAGTTATAGACGAAAGAAATAGTCATTAAAAGAAGTTTTAGTGCATGTACATATCTGTTTGAATATGTTTTGTGACACGATGAAATAATGTAGTAAAGTGATGTATCATCTCAGTCCATGCATAGGCTAGAGTGGCCGATTAGGTTATCTAGCCTAGGCTAGGCCTAGCCGGTTGGTTTGCGGAGAGGTTCTGCTCAGCTAACCTAATGTTTCTCCGTGCCTAGTGAAAGGCCTAGGGGCCTAGGTTAGTGTCACATAGTGACTTTATTGAATTTGGACTGCACTCGGTGAGTGACTCGCATCTTGGGTGGCCCTAAATATAGGGCCTAATATTTATTTTTCTTTTTGTAACCTAGATCTTGTGTTAGTTAATTCGTCGTAGCCTGACCCCTAGTTTAGGCGGCCTTATTTCTATACTAGGCCCTAAGCCTAGGCTCTCTAGCCTGTGTACATGTATGATGAGCATCGGTTGAAGGTACTTGGTCTTGGTCTCCCAACTTTGATTTATATAATGACAAAGTGTTTAAAATAATCATGTAGAAAGAAAATATAAGGAGTCACAACAGAGAACAAGTGGCATGCTGAACCAATTATGACCAATTAGGCTCCCGCGGAGCAGCAGTGCTCTAGCATAGGGCCATTAAATTAGACCTTGTTACGATAATGGCCTTTGATAGATATCCTATTTACCGCTGCTGACTTCGGTCTGATTATGTAACATCCCTCATTTAGAAACAAGCCAAGCGTAACACTGGTGACAAGAATGCAAACTAAGGCTGCGCAGAAGTCACTGACATTTACCATCTAGTAATAACACATGCGCAGTTATGCAGTTTAAGCCTTGCTTTTGACTAAAAAAAATGTGAAAATCTGTCAATATTTCGAAAAGTTACATCTATTCAAAGATACGTCTTTATAATTATCGTCAATTTCATCAAGGGATAATTATTATTTGTTAAGTCGAATTTCATTTCTTTCTACTACTACAAAACAGATAAATCTAGGTGCATTTTAAAACATAAAACATATCGAAACTTATTCTGTTTTCATTTTTTGTTGCGCGCAAGTAAATTATGATATTAAAGTTCGCTCATGAATATTCAATTTAACCGATTCATAGTCATTTTTTACGAGACACGTTTTAATTTTTTCTTTGTATAAGTCATTTATAAAATATGTTATAGCATATCTTATGACCTTACTATCATGATATTATTTAGTCACACTAAAATTTGAACCGCTGAGTCAATTAGAATTATTATATTTAATAAATAAGTATTATTATTACAATATTATTAAAGTATTATTACATAAAATACCAATAGTTACGGCACGTTTGGCTGTTTTTGTTATATTTAAAAAAAATACATTTTACCTTTTGTCTTTATCCCACTGCAATTTAATGTTGGTTACGAAAGGTTTGGAATATAATTAATATAATAAATCAAAATAAAATATGGTAATTATAGATCGTTAAGTACTTACCTTTAATAGATGAAATTAGTATACATGAAGCTATCATAATAGGCCTACACTGACCCACAGATAGGTTATTCTGTAATGGAGGCAAATTTCAGGAGGCATATACCGTACCGTTATCAGGCGATGCATTAATTAATCCATGATTAAACCTACCATGGAAGAATTAGTTTGCTACGCTTAATCTTTGAACTTGTCTACATTCCAAAGTTATCTGCGTGGGATCATCGCATGAATAAATGGAATAAAGTACGCTTGACACCTAATTTATTAGTAGAGGCCTACTAACATGATCTAAATTGTAATTTTATTCGCTTGTATGTTCAATATTTCTTACTCTATGCAATACCATAGAGAAAGTGCATATGAGGCCAGCGTGCCTTGATCAGTTATTAGGTACGTGACTATCAGCCATTGAGAGAGCGCGATATATGGCACCGCTATCATTTTCTGCCAGCAACTCGACTGTCTGCACAGCCCTCTATTATTTTGGCTGCAGAGGTCGTATTTATTTTTCCCTATGACCCGAAAATTCCTCTTTCTCAAACCAATTTTTTCCAACTTCGCGAAGTGAGTGAATTTATTGCTGAAAGTTTTAGTTGCCAAAAACTTTCAATTATTTTAAAGAAGATAGGTTTATTTTTCTGAAACCAGTTTATTTTGATAGTTATATTTATCCACAACTGGGTGAATATTTAGTTAATTTAAACACCGAAACCTAGTTTTTGATCGAAATATAAAAATGTGTTGTGAATTGAAATTCCCCAACAAATATGTTCATGTGGTGCAGATTGAAAAGCCATGCATGTCTGGTTAAGCTGCAATCGCGTATCGCGACACACATGTACACAGTCACAATTTTATATTTTGTTTTGTTAATTGAATCCAAGTTTAGGTTTTTATATTGCTCTGATTCTGACTCTGATATATTTATTCATCTAGTTTTGGTAATTATGTTAACTTGAGCACCAAAACCTTGTATTTGAGTCTTTGACTAAATCAAAGGAACCAGAAACACATTTGCCCTCCAACAGATGACCGGGTGCTCAGGAATTGTAATCGAGATAGTGGCCTAAAAAATAAATGCCCGGCTGGAAAAAAATGCAGTCAGTTATTATTGAATTTTGTCAAAAGAATTAATGATTCAGCCTGAGCTATCAACAAATCAGAGAATGTGGTGATCTCATTGAAGTTTTAACAATTCTTAATTAAAGGGTTTGAGAATATTGAATACGCTTTCTACTTTATGTTATCATCCATATTGCAGAGGGAAACATATAGCAGATTGTTATCTTACAAATTTAACAAACCAATATGGGACTCAACTAAACCAGACTAAAGGAAGTAAATTCTGTTATGCCAGAGGGATTAATAAGGATGGAATTCTTTGACACAGTGATCCTCTCAGTGAGAGAGTTAATTATTCAGTCAAAAGTAACCTTGACAAACATACAAACTCATAGCCTATTAAACTTTACTAGAAAAGCATTTTATTAAGGTAAGAATGCAACACAACAAGGTGCTCAAAATATGGATTGTTTTTACGATCATGATGCGCGTAGCCAGCAACCAGAAGATGGCATGTCGTCAAGCGCTCACAAAGCGGAGATGGATTTGTCGGCGAACAGCCATACGACCATTGTACAGTGCAGGGTGTACCAAGCCTATATCTTTTCTCTCTAGATGAAATATTTAACAATGAAAACACATTGTCCAATTGAGAGGCCTACAGTATATTATACAACAGTTTCTTGCAACCCATAATATTTACATGCGACCCATGAACTGTCTGGCAACCCATGCTAAGACAGGTTGCTAGCCATTGTGGTCACCACTGGCCATTTGGGAATGACATCAAAGGAGAGTATAATGTGGTTTCCAGATAATGAGAAATAAGACCCAGATGTTTGTAATACGAGCCACTAAGTATGTGAATCACAGATGGTTTGTACCTGTAACTTGATTACTGATACAGGCCTGTACAGTACTTAGCTTTCAAAGTTTGATGACATTGTAGCTATGTTTCGATGATCACTTCTATCTAATGCAAGTTAATGAGAAATCCAGTCAACAGGGTTCGTAGGTGTCCTTAAATTCCTTGAATGTCCTGGAAAAACAAATGAGCATTTTCCAGTAACTGGAAAGTCCTGGAAATTTAAGATTGTCCTTGAATGTCCTGGATAATTGATAATTTACCATTAATTGCAGTACTACAAGTTGCCTAGTAACAGTAAATTGAATGAGAAACGTTCCCACAAGTAGGTTCCCACAGTACTCTTTAAAAGAATCAGCAAGTCTTTGTACACAGCCAATTCAGGAATGTTATCAAGACAGAAAGAATGTCATTGCTGAAAATGGCCGACAGACTGGTTCAGACAAACTTGTGCAATTCAGTGAATAAAGTTGTTCGCCTATATTTTAATTAAGGCGGAACTTTTTTTGAAATCTTGCATATTAATTATGTTTGCATTTAATTTTAATTCAGACATTGATAATCATAGTCGTTAACTTTGTTGACATCTGCTATGGTGTTATTTGCTTTTTGTCGTGTGTTAAACTTATTAAACGTGTCGTGTAAACTTGAACTTTCAATTAACATTCAATCAGTTGAACAGGTCTTGTCGCACGTGCTCAGCCCGTTGAATTCGCTTTGGGTAATTCATCACTCTCCAGACATGCACACTTGTTCAGCACGAATGGGCATGTTTTGGCCCTATCCAGCGCAAGGCAGTTAATTAACAATTAAAGTAACCATGGGAACGTGTACTTCTACTAGAATTCTACAGTTATTTTCTTAGTGAATGGTGTTTGAAGGGCGTTTACTGTTAGAAGTTCGTGAATTTAGGGCAAGATATTTCGTTAATTATGTTTCTGAAGTTTACAAAGTCATTGAAAAACAATGCTGGTCGGCAGCTGATCAGTGCCGATAGGATGGTGCCGTACGTTAACATTTTGCTGTAGAGTAGATTATAAAAGTTGTAGGCCTACAACTAAGGCCTAATAATAATAGACCTAAATATTAATAATAATGTTAGGTTTAATAATTATGAATAATAATAAATAATACAGTATAGTATAATGATGTGTTGAGAATAGAGCATAACCATTAAATTAATTAATAATATAGTACATCATTCGTTTAGACAACATTTATAAACACCTAAATATATATGAAATGAGATGCATTGATGTCTCCGCAACGTACACCAATCGAAGGTTATATTGTTTTACTGTATATATGGTACATATCAACTTCGCCACAGCTGTTCGCTGAACAAAAACCCTGGACAGGCGGTAAGCCACCCCGTGGCGCCACAAAAGAACCAAGTTATTTGGGCGTGCCGGTACCACAAAAGACACTGTCACGTTTAAGCAAAGATAAGAAAAGCCCATTGTTGTACGCGCACATTTATGTTGCCGAGTGGAGAATTCTACGTAACTGTAGGCGATAAGTCCTGCCTTACTTTACCGGTACTTCCCCATACT